ATGGCAATAAGGCATGTAGATTTTTGTGAAGTTTGTTAATTCTACATTATTTTTTAGTTTGTGCTGACATTTTTTTAATACATTTTGGAAGGTTAAAGGATTTTCAGTTTTGGTGGTAGATAAATACTTGTTTAATGGGGGTTTTAGGTCAAAACTGATGTTGGGTTTTTCCTGCAGCTGTCATAGATTGAGACTGTTTTTGATGTTAGAAATGATGCTATGTATGTAGTATTCAAGTTTAGCTTTCAAGTTGAGCTGGAGTGAGAATCTCTATTCAGTGGTTGAACAGTGGTTAATGTTCAAGTTTTAGCTTCCAAGTTTGCTTCTTTTTGATTGTGACAGGGTGTTATCGTTGATGCGTTATTTACCTATATCTTTATTCTTTTGTTAGTTCCTTCTTTCCCATGTCTTTAATGAGCAAATGGATGAGTGGTGTTGGCTAACTATAATTACGTTTGTTTTGCTAAATTGATAAAGATGGAGTCTAGGCCAGCTTGCTATGATTATAGGTTTTAGGGGATGGTACTTTCTTCAATTGCTTCTATCCCACGGCTTAATTCTCTGTGTAGTGCTTTTTGAGTCGCGCTTGTTCTTGAGGTCTGGGAAGGGAAGTTGAGGAATAAGTTGATCCTTTTTATGAAGTTGAATTTGCTGTGTTTTATGAGTTGAACTTGTAGCAACAATATGTTGGAGTGATGTTTGATCTCAATAAACTGTATGTTTTTGACGGGGGAACAAAATGCAGGAGGTATGGTTGGACAGAATAAGTGGAAAGATTTGTATGTCAATCTCCTCGAAAGCATTGTTAATAACTAATGTGGAAGACAGGAGACACTGGAACTGGTTTCCTACAGAAGAATCAAGGTTAGATTTGGTTGAAACTATGTGTAACTATGTCATTATTAAGCTTATTGTTGCAGTGATATAAATGATTTTGGAGTTTTGAAATGGTTGGATATCCTCTTATGAGATGATACTAAGAACTAGTTTTAGTTGGACTACATATCATTGGGATTTTCCCATGCATCACATGATAATCTCTTATGAGCAATACATGTGAAGATGAGTTTGTCATGCTAACTTATGGACACCTCGTCTAATCCACTCGGCAAACTTAATAGTTCACAAGCACACTTGCGAAGGTAACCATCTCTCTTAGGTTGGAGCAGATTGGCTCAAACCAAGTGTTGAATTTGAACCTAAAACTTCCAAGTAGTTATTCCCTTGCCTCAATCACCAGACCAATTTCTTGGGGACATGTGAAAACAAGGTTCATGTATTCACCATGAGGTGAAAATGAATATTAGTTAACTCAATTAAAGTAGTTGTTATTAAACTTCTAGCTCATTCTCTCACTAAACCTGACAAATAGACAATGCAGGAGCGGATTCTTAAGTGGAAAACATTCTGATTTGCCTTCCAATATATTGAGTTGACACTGCTTGACTTGCTATACCCTCCTGCTTGTATGCCTGATTTGAGTTATCAGTAGATTGCTTTTAATTTTTCTTTCTACCAAATGAGATTGTACTTGGTAGGAAGGCCGAAGTTTGATCAATCTTTTGTAACAAATATACAGAGTGTGTGAACTTATGCTCTAAATGGTATTAGTTAGATGCAGATGTGGTAATGGATTAGAATGCTCAGTGCATGCATGACACCTCCTCTTTCTTCTTCTTTGCCTCCCATAGCTATGGTATATTCCTAAATGAACTGAAACATGAAATGTATTAGATGCCATTTGCATCCATTTGAGAAATTGTTGAAGCAATGTTCTCAAAAGGATCTGAAAGTGTTTCCCCCCTGAAGGAGACAAGAAAACAGCAAATCCATGCATTGAACCAGTCTAGTAAAATATTCTCCATTTTTCCTCTTCAGCGAAATCATGCTCCCTTGACTTCGAGTGCATTTACGTGGCTTTTCTTCATCAGTTGATAAATTGGTGTAGTAATCAGATCTAAGACAGAAATATACATAATAGGGAAAAAGATGGAAAAATGAGATAGAATGTTGGACCTAGGTCGTTATTGCTTCTGCTGGATAGTATGAGTTCTAATTCTCGTCTGTAAAAGAGATGATGTACTGATGAGTTTATCAGCTGTAGTTAGGATGTTATTTTCCTAGCTACATGATTTTTCGACTAAGCTCTATTAGGATTTTGTAGGAGCATTTGTCTGTTCAAAATGTCCAGTTATTTTTCTGGTTAGAACTGAAGTTAACTTACTCATTCCTTTTCTAATTTTGATTGATAATAGCTGATTGAGTAGTGACAACAGTTGGCTTCTATGTCTCACCCTTTTGTCAATGAACTTCCTTTCTTGAGAGTATGAAACTGAACCACTGGTATCAGATTGCGGGCACTTCTTGCAACAGTATGCTAATTTATAGGGTGAAATATATGGTAATCTTATTGATATGAGATGTTTGTTGTCCTTTTTATTCTCTTTGTTCCAATGTGTGCTAGTTTATGAACTCCGTGCTTTCTTCTCTTGGAACTGTTCATGTTATCCTCTTTTACTGTGTGTGTGTGTGTATGTGTTTTGGGGTGGGGTGGGGAGGCGTTACAGGCTGTCCTTCCCCTATTGTATCCTCCTTTTCTCCATTGAATTATACATGAACATGCTAGTTTTTCCCTCTTTACTTTTGCATAACTGATTTGTTGTTGATGACGAGGGATATCACATATTTTGAACTCTTGCAGATTCCATGCTGTGGCGTATTGCCAGCAGGTATGGTGGTTTGAATTAAGTGGCGCAGTTAGTTTTCCTTTTCCTCCTGGTATATACACTGTAACATTCAGAGTTCACCTTGGGAAAATATTTAAAAGACTCGGTCGGCGTGCTTGCAACTTTGAGCATACTCATGGATGGGATTTGGGGCCAGTACGTTATGAACTATCTACTTCTGATGGGCAACACACAGTTAATGAGTGCTTCATAGATGATGCTGGGCAAGACGACCCAATTGGGAATATCAGGCGTGGGAGCTGGATTGAGTACAAGGTGGGTGAATTTATTGTCAGTACATCAGATCCTGTGACGGAAGTTAGATTTTCAATGAAACAGATCGACTGCACACATTCTAAAGGCGGACTCTGTGTTGATTCTGTATCAATTACCCCCAGTGATCTGAAAGTCCATCCTAGAAAAGGGGTTTAAAGTATATCTGTAAGTGACATGTTTTCTTGTGAATGCTCTCAGAAAAATTTCTATGAGTTCCATTATACCGCCTAAAAACAATACATTTGAGAAGGTAGTCATTGTAAAATTCTTTTTTTGCCTTAGGTATGTCTTCTCTCTCCATGAAATGATACTGTTTTGTTCTTGATCCAGCTTTGTTGCATAGAATACATTCTGCAGAAGATCAAGAAAAGATAGTTTGCTCATTTTTTATTAGAGAAAAGGTTCAACTATTCTAGTTTTTTCTTGTACAGAAATACATGGCTGAATTCTTCCAGTAGCAGATCCTTGAATTCAATTGTGTGGGTTCTAGATTGAGAAAAAAAATTAACTGGGTTCAGCTGAACTCGTATCGAGGCTTCTATCTGTGCCCCTGAATTCTTTCCACTTTTAGTGCATGTTTTACTATTCAACTATGTTGTTTAGAGTTTGGACTGTCCAAAAATGCTGTTACATCCTTGTATGATCCTCTAAATGTAGTTTTTTCGAGGATCCTCCACACGTTCAACAGTACATTTTGAGAGTTCGAACAACACAGCATTTCAGTGCTTTAAGATCTCAACTATGGTAGAGTCGTGTCGTTGTGCTCTCTTATGCTTATGTTGTTTACTATGGTCTTTTTCTTGTGTGGTCTTTGGTTTTTATGACATCTTTTGATCATTAACAACTTTTACTATGTGCTGTGGACTCTGTTCACTTGCATTTTTTGGTAAGTCAATGTGTTTTGAACTGCAAGAATATGCTATCTCTGATTGATCCTGATTCGACATTGGAAGTATATTGTTTTTCATGATAACCGAATACTTTTGTTCGTAAATACTGCATATTTGATCCCATCTATGTCGCATCAGATGGTGATATTTTTCTTCTATATTTATCAATCTATGATTGGGAACATTACAGGCTGCTTGACAAGTGCTTTGTTCCTATGTAACATGTGATCTTTAGTAGTAATATCTTAATTCAATTGCTATTAGGTAAAGTTCTCGGTATACTGTACCCTTCTCAGACTCTCAGATGGAATTATATTCATTGATATTCGGATATGTTGTCCTGTAGTATATGATCATTTTTTACCTGAAATCTTTTCTTATTAGACGGTCTTAAAATCTGATATCTTTTTATATTTATTAACAATTTAAATTTAAAATATTTAATTTTTTTTTATCCTTTGACGAGATGATTTCTAACCACTTAAATATGTATCACTTATTTTTAATCATATAATTTTATTTGTGTGTTGTGGTGTGGTCAGTTAGGTGAGGCTTCCACATCATTTGAGTGAGGTGATGGTAGAATCAAATTGTAAGCTTTTTCCCAAAGCCTATCTATTTACGCAATCTTATCCAAAAGAAAACAAAAAAACAAAGAAATCTAATACCAAATCAATTCTAAAAAAAATGTGTTTCTTTTGTTTATTTCTCGAAAGAAGAAAAAAAGGAATGGTAGCAATGTGGTGAAGTCTTATTATCGATATAGGCAATTTAATTCATTTTGCTTTTAAAACTGAATCAAATAAAGTATTATTTTGATCATTTAAAAAGATTGAATTAAAATTTGTTGAAAGAGAACATGTTTGAATTTCGACTTCATATATATGTACTATAAACTCTTTATTTCAAATTTAGTATCTCTAACACATGATAATATGCTTCAATTAGACACTTGTAATTCAGATTCTGATAAATTTTTTTTTTATCAAATGGCATATGAATTCAATCATGTTAAAACATTATTGATTCTTACGTATTGTATCTTCGTTGATCATTCAAGTCATCAAAAAAGTAACTCTCCAAGTACGCAGGAAAACAGATTGCTGCATGGTAAATTACTGCAAGAGTTTCGAAGAAACAGATTTCAAAAATATTTTGTTTAGGAGTCAAAAAGCTACATCTGTAATAGAGAATGAACCCACAAGAAGTCAATAGTATGTGGAGAATCAACAGCTGCATTTGCAACCAAATGCAAAACCGTCAACGAGAAATTTGTCTGCAGATGTATGAGATACTTGTAAATGAAGGTCTCCGCTTACAGTCTCTTCAAACAAGGCACTCTATTGCTAATAAGGAAACAACATAAACAACAGCTTAACGTTTTCCTCCGCCACCACCAAGCTTAGGACCTTTTGATGCACCTCCTTTGGACATATTGCCCTTTCCTCCAGCTTTCTGAGACTTGGCCTGAACCTCTGCTTTCTTAGCCTTCTTTTCATCCTTTGTCTTCTTGATCCTTTCCTTAATTTCACTATAAAAGATCCATACACACACAAAGATCAGTTTATCCCCCATTAAACCAGGAAAAAAAAACGCTTCTTACTTAAAACTTCAACAACTAACACTGTAATTTACTGTCCCCTCACACCAAGATGATAATACCAAGCATTGTGAAGTACACTTAGGGCTTGTTTGGTGTAAGAGATTAAAAATAATAGTGATGGGATTAAGTTTTTTTTATTTTGTTTGGTTGCTATGTTTGGGATAACATATCCCACCATTTATATCATATTGATGGGATAAGTTATTCCATATACATGGGTGCATAAGTTATCAGGACAACTTGTTTCTAACCAAACGACCCCTAAGCTCTAGGTCTTTTTAGTACATGTTGGGTCCATATGGAACAGAAGGTGCTTGAAAGGTATCAGCACATCTGTAACGATAGACACAATTAATTTCCCAGACTAGTAACTGTATTAACCACATGTGAAAATGTTAATACCTGACTAAGTCTGGTATCCAAGATATAAGATTATCAGCTAAGACTGTCCAAAAAGCCACTAACTATATGCAAGTTGCTGGTGAACACACTTATAAATAAAATCAGGAATGAGAGGAAACTAACCGAAGAGCAGCCTCCCTGGCAGCATCTCGAACTTCTGGCCTTTCAGTTCTCTTCTTCTGGATTACCTCCAAGGTTGCACCCACAATAGACCTAGAGTAAGGCTTCTTGGTGGTACGTCGCCTCTTCTTAGCAGCTTCTTGTGCAATATCCTATTTTAAACGAACACAGGCCGCAATTAAATTACGTCATTATAAGCAAGTATAGGGAAGTCCTAGAAAATTTCAGCATCCCAATGCAAGTTTTACAAGTAAAACTATATATGATGAAGAAAAGGCATATTCCCTAGTTTAGTTTCAATTAGGGAGCAGAACACAGTTACTGTAGTTCAAAGCCCAGAAACTCACCTTCTTGTGTTGCTTCCTATACATAGCTGTCCATGTAAGCTTGGATGGCTTCAACTTGTTGTGGAAGTAGTGTTTACATTTTGAGTTGACGAATAGGAACACCTAAAAGTATCAAGAAATTAGTATAGTGATAGTGGAACTAGCAAGATTGTACCTTAATTCCTAAGAAAACAAACAATTTATCCTTAGATTAAGAGAAGTGTTTTAGCATGTCATCTATTGAAAGAATACCTGAGAGTCTGACCGGATAAATCTGATGCCTCTCCCAGGGTAAATCTTGGCACCACTGAAACGGCAAAGTTCTGTCCTGAAATTGATGTAAGAAGACAACAATGAATCATCACTTAAAATTTATGACTGTGGAATTACCAGGGGAAAATCTAAACTACAGGAAATGAGCAAGCACAAGAAAATACCAGTCTGAAATAACACATGATTTCATGTAAGATAAAGTTACACATTGAATTGAGTTAACACCGCTATTTTTATGTAGTGCCTAGTTGAAACATTGCAGATGACCAAGAAAATAACTGCCAACCGCTATCCGCCAGCAAGGCAGTTCACATCTAATGGTGGATATAGTTTTAGTAGCCCAGGGGAAATTAAAAAGAACTGGTGTGGTTTGAAATCGACCAATGCGACAAGGCATACAACTATGAAGCAGTGGAAAGATGGATATCACCAATACCGCTTAATATGATTTTAATCTAGTTGCAAGGTCATACACTCTGCCTGGAGCACTTCCCTACCTATCCCTTCATCTCTCCCACACAATTCCCCTTACTGTAAGCAAATCCCAGAACAGAACAGATTTTCAAAAGAAAAATAACCCGCAAAAAAAACATGGAAGATCACTCTAGAGGTAAGCTATGCAAAAAGTGTGGTCTGACTTGAACATAGAATAAGAAGACCACATCAACTGTCTGTGCATTAATATTCTTTCAAATGAGAAAATAAATTGCAAGTAGAACTTGAGCTTCACGAGCAAACTCCACCTCATCAAATCGAACTATGAATTATAGCGTTTACTATGAAAATTAGGGTGTTCTTGAATCGTGAAAAATGATCACCCCAGCATAATATCCTCCTAAAAGTCAATACAAATATTATCTCCAATCTTACTCTTGCTCAAATCATAATTTAGACATTGTTACAAATCCTATAATACTCAAAAGTGCACCATCACATAAATATCCTTATTCCTAAGGTAATCCTTGTATGATTAAGAAATGTATGCTATTTTTTTGCAAACCACATGAAAATGATCCAAAAATTGATTTCTTGAGCTCCATACTAGTGTTTTGTCTGTGGCAGATTTGAACATGAGACCTCATGGTTCTCGCACGCCATACAGTGAAACAACATTTATCTTAAGAGAGCTCCACCGTGAGCATCTCCGGAATTACACATTCTCATCTACATTATGAATCTAAATATGGATTATTGCAGAGTCCCACCATTGATTCTAAATCTAGGAATCGCAGATACCATTTATGGATAAATTACCAAATTTTCTCAACGAATACTACTGAAAAATAATTCATCGGATGCATAAAGGCAATCAAAAATACAGATGAACGAGAAAAATAAACGGGAGAAATCTTACTTGAGAACCATGGTTGATGCTGTAGCGAGCCGCCCTCCTTTACAGTATCTCAATGAAATTGTAACCCTAATGAGCTACCATTTTATAACAAATAGGATTAAAGGGCCCAAAAGATGGGAAGGGCTTCGTGGGCTTGTATGTCTGGTTCAGTTATTGGGCCTATCCATAAAACTTTAAGCCCATACAACAAAAATACACTAACATATAAACCCAATTTGAAATATTTCTGCTAAAGAATTATTTCAAATGATTGAATATCTCCTCTAAATTGCAGCATAAGTTTATATCTTTGTCTTATAATATCTCACAAGTTATGACGTAAAATGTGTTTTTTCTTGACATTGAAATAGCAAACAACTTTTTCGCAACATAAGTTTATATGGATATATCCCACATGTTATGCAATATATCACGAGGGCATAACATATTTCTTTTTTTAAAAAAAAGAACGACACACAAAACCAATTTTAAGTATTTTTACCAAAGATTATGTCCTCTTTTCATTTTTTTTTAAATTTCCCACCTAGTATAAGTGTTGGAGTCCGATTATTTTGAATTTGCGCTACATAAAGCCTACTCAGAGGAAAAGCGCTCCTTACTAGGAACTTTTTCATATTCAAGATTCAAACCCAAAATCTTTGATTAAGAAACGGGTAGCTTCATTCTGTGCACCGCATCTTTTCTGATTCCTTCTTTTTTGCTACTTCTAGTACAAAATAAAATTATCCACATCTACATTGGGTACAACAACCCTTCATTTTAACAAATGATCCATATTTATGTTTTTTTATTAACAGGTTGAATTAGAAAAAAATTGTAAAACTATTTTTTTTAATTCCACAAATGAGACATGAGATTTAGTTTTGGACCGGTATTATTATTTGGGAAAATTTTGCAAATAGCGTCTATAATAAACTTATAGCTATAGTTCGTATATTTATAGGTTATAGCTATCGTCTAAAATGCCTCATTCGTATAATTCGTGTGTGCGTTCATATAATCCAACCAATTTTATATAAACTTGAAATAACGGAGTTATACAAACATAAACATCTGAACTTTAAACTGTTATACAAGTTGTATTATACAAAAATTATACAAATTCTAAATTATAGACACATGCGGATTATACAAAACTAAAAAAATGAACCGCATAATTATAGCTAAAAGTAGATCGCAAATTGTAATTAAAGCAAGCTGTAGCTATATTAACTAAGTAACTAGTATATGTTTGTTTATCCGCATACTTTTCCCTTATTGTTTCCCTCTCAATTCTCTTCTATTTCTGTCTCTCATTTGTATTAGCTCAGGATCAATTTGCCTATATATAATTCTTTCAATGCTATGGTTGTCTTTAGATTTATAGGTTAACAGACAATATGACCTATCTTATTAATATGGTGACAAAAAAGTTTTCGTAAAATTTATACAAATCTCATTATGTTAGGAGTTAATTTCATCATATTCCTATTTTTTCAAATTACAAAAATTCATTCAAACTTAAGAATTTCAGATACATCACTTAACGTCCTCGATACATCACGTCCGGATGCATTACGACATACTTGTCTCGATACTTCTCTCAATGTCTCGATAGACCATGTGCCGATACATTACCTTTGTTGATACGAAACACACCTGTTCCGATATATCGCGTGAGGATAATGTATCCGAAAATAAGAGAGAGTAAACTTTTTTATAATTTTTCCAAATGACATGAAATTCAAAGAATACTGTAAAATAAGTTATTTAGGTAATTTTTCCATATTTTTTAAATCAAGAAAATGGGTACATTGCTAACATAGTAGTTTTATTAGGTAAAGTTGGTATTCTAGGCTGAGTTAGTTCTTGTTTTCCAAAAAAAATAGTATGTGCATTTTGTTAAACATAAATAAATACATAATCACAAGAAGTTTATAGCCAATTTCAAAATTCAAATCTTAGCATGTTTACATTCTTCTTTTGGAGTATGAAAAGGGTGAAAATAAGTGTTTTGGGTAACTAGAAGGATATTTTTGGAACAAATTCTAATACATTGAGGACATTTTCGAACCTTTTTCATATTGAATATGACAAATCAAATCAATAGAAATAATGCCAGAATAACTAAACCTAACAAAACTAAAAGCAATTGTTTGGTGTGAGGTATAAGGTATATTAATTCCAGTGATAAAATACAGAAATATTTTATCCTACGTTTGGTTGGAGGTATTAGACAATCCCGAGATTATTTATCTCACAATTTATTTCTTAATGATGGGATAAGTTGTCGCATATACATAGTGAAATAACTTCTCATACGATAATTTATTCTGAATAATTAATCTCAAAATAACTTGTTCCCAACCAAATAACGAGAGATATTTGTGTCATTGGAATCATCACTACCACACATTGTTTTTTCATTGTTTGAATTTACTGTTTACTATCAATTATTGTCCTTTTGGTGGTCCATAAACAGCTAGCAAAAGAAGACTTGAGAAGACTTTGGTGCTGACGAAGAACACTATTTTGTGAAGGAGCAAAAACAACAATTTATGATTCTCTAATTGGTGCAATTGTTCAAGTTTTGCTAAAGAATATGTCAAATGATGAATATGTCCTCTAAATTGAGGAGCAAGGGTATATGTTCGCCTCATAATATCTCATAAGTAATAATGTAAAGATGTTCGCTCTTGATAGCGAAATAACAAACAACTTTTTCACGGCATAAGTTTATATTATAATATCCCACAAGTTATATCATATAAATATGCTAAAAAAATAAAAAATGCAACACACAAAACCAATTTTAAGTATTTCTACTAAAGAATATGTCCTCTTTCATGTTTTTTATTCCCACCTAGTATTTTGTATCAGCATTGGAGCCTAACTATTTCGATTCACGCTGCATATGGCCCCATTTGAGGAGAAACGCTTTCCACTAGGGATTTTTTATATCCAGAATTCAAATACGAAACATTTGATTAATTAATGAAGGAATAACCTCATCCACTACACCACATCCTTTTATACATCTAAACAACCCTTCGTGTAAACAAATACGAGCAGAGTTTACATACAACAAACATCAAAATATTTAATTCCATATATCCTTTTGTTTATCAAATGATACAAATTTACATTTTTTGTTAACAGATGAATTAGGGAAAAAATTCTAAAACTTTGGGTATGTACAAGCATACACTTAAATTTGAACAAAATTGAATAAATAGACACACTCGTTTTACATGACAATTTTGTATTCTATGTAGCGTCCTATATGTATTATGTCATATATAACATGTATATGTATTTAATTTAATACAAATTTAAGTGTCTATATATGTACACCCAAAGTTGAAGAGCATATAGATATCAGTTCAAATTAAGTTAAAAAACATATTTATTATTATGCCTTTTCTCTTTTAGTTAACTTTTGAGGTTGAGTTAGATGGATCGTTACAAATTGAATTAGTTCTTGTTTTTGAGAAAATAGTATTTTGTCTGGAATTGATTTTATTTTTACATCAATACTTTTTCTCTGGAATTGATTTTCTTTTTCTCCCAAATGCTACCTTTAAATCATCATACTTATCTTCGGAACAATGTCAAGTCCCATATATAGTAGAAATCTATATAAGTTTCTTAATAGACTCTTAAAAAAATAAATCTTTATTTTCAGACAGTAGAAACTTATGGATATATGACACACTACTCGTTACTTTCACATCACAGGATAATTTCTCCGTAGATAATAACTTTTGCGATTGAAGTTCTTCAACAAAGATAGTGTTTCATGAATCTGATTGCAAAGAGTGGTCCAATGGCATTTAAATTGTGCTTAGCAACATCTGTGTTCATCTTGATAGGTCTTGCTTTCTCCTAAAATCTCCTTATTTTTAGTGGTTACTTGTATTGATCTGCTTTTCCATTCTCCAAGGAGGAAACATGTTCCGAAACTGACTTTTTACCATTTCCCGCGTTTCAGATTCATGTTTGAAACACCAGCATTGACCTTGTCGAAATGCTACTTCTGTTAGATGTGTTTCAGTGTCATCGTTGGCAAGGAGAAATTACATTCCGTAAACTCATTTGAATTTGGCAGAAAGTGAATTGGAGATATTACTTCCATGTTGGTCTAATATAAACTAGCAGTGTTGAATAGCATGGTTGTATCATGTATATATGCTACAAAGATTCTTGGAGCATGTCCTCCTTCCACACTCCTTCAAGCTGTTGGTTATTGCTGTGAAAATCCATAACTAACAACTAGTTGCGCGTAACCACTGTGATTAATCATTAAAGGTCACGAACATGAATAAGATTTGCGTAAATGCAGTCACTCGTGATCCCAGCAACTCGTTTTTCAGACATAGTGGTAGATTCAACTTGAGTTGTTAAGAGTCTGTTGTAGTCATTTCACTTATATTCAGACTATTTGGGTCTTTCCCATTTTCAGATGTCTATTCTTTTAGCTTCCGCATAGTTCATGTTTTACTTAGTTATTTTCAATATGCTTATGTAATATTGCTAAACTCAGGGTTAACTTGGGATCACTCGTGATCCTAGATCCCATGTTACGTCAAGGGGATAGCCTTGGGGCGTAACAGTCCATGCATGCTTTGAAATTTGGCGGGTCAGGCCATGCTGCCCCATCCTTTTTTTTTTTTGTAGATGAGTTAACAATCAACCCAATCCACCGGTATGTGGGTTGCGGATCATGCCGATCAGCTTACCCTTTTTAAACTTATATTTTTTATAAATTTAAATTAAATCATTATTCAAAAATATTAATATAAATATCAAGAGAGTATTACATGGTGTTAGGATTACGACGTAACTTGTTAACCAAATTCACAAATAAATTTTTTTATAATACTTAAGTTTGACTTCAACTAAAAATATAACTAGCTAAATAGAAATATTAACCAAATTATTTCGCAATGATCACAATGAAACACAAAAAGATATGTGCGATTCAATCATAACGGTGCTTTAGGATGTTCTGATATACAAAGTGATGGTTTGCTCATTTGGTAATTATATTGGATAAGAATAGGAGAAAATTGATGTTTTTTACACAACTTGTGGATTTTTCATGTTTTACGAGGAAAAAAAATATAATTTAATAAGAAATCAAAATTGGATGTCTATTTAGTCAGAGCTATTTAGGGATATGCTATAGTCGAGCTCAAAAGTGTAGTGAACTTGTGTTATGCATTAATTGTAACTTCTTTTTTGCGTTCCTCTCTTGTTTGGGCTATTCCGATGTGTGATTCAACTAAAATGCTTGCCAGTCTACTTTCATCGGTCCGCCCTCCGTCATAGTGTCACACATTTGATATAAGTTTCTTTTTGTTTTAAAGAAAATGACTACATCTACATCATGGGTCTTTTTTATATATAATTTATGGAATGAGACATTATTGTCTAATTCTCAAAGACTAGAATAAAGTTGAAGTCGTTAATAAAACAGCCAATAGGACGAAATACGACCAATACCATTAATTAAAACACTAATTGTTTGTTTACCTACCAATACCATTAATTAATAAATTAATAATGCATCAATAATTCAGATATACAATACACATTCCAGTATGTTTGTGCTCATTACCAACTCTAATTATTGTTGATCTCCTGATCCATCTCTATGTACTGACCCACACCTTGTGTCATATAGTATTTGGATCTACGTACAACCAATCAATTAACAATCGATCGATCTATTATTGAGCTATTGAGGAATAATAAGAGATTCGATAAGCTAATATTGAGGAGAGTTTCATTGATTCGGAATTTATTTTCATACTTGAAGAAAATCTTTATTCTCTGAATCAATATACTCCTCCTTCCTAATTTATGTGTCTTAGTTTGACTAGTTAAAGAATTTTGACAAGCGATTTTTCTCGTCTCTTTTATATTCGTTTTGTTTAATGTTTATGTTTCGTGTTTGTTATTATTATTGGGAATTTAATGATTTGTTGACATTATCTAGAATATAAACTACAATGTAATTTATAAATCAATAAGGAAGAATATGCAATAGATGAAAAAATATTTGAAAAATATGAAGGATTAAAAATAAGAATAACATTTTCTAATTTAGGAAGAAGATATAAGAAAATAGGTGACAATTTAAGTTTAATGTTAGAAAAAGAAACGGTAAAAATAGAAGATAGTTTAATTGCTATGGTAAGGATAGCAAAAGAAAATGAAGAAATAGATAGAAAAATGGAAATTGAAAAAATAAAACATCAAGCAAGGAAAGAAGTACAACAAATAGAAGAAGTTAAAAACAAAGAAATTTCAGAACTAGAAAAAGAATTAGCAATGTTGAAAGAAATGTATGAAATAAAACAAAAAGAAAAAGAACAGAAAAGAAACTTGGCAAATGAGATAAACAAATTTAAAGAAAGATTGCAATTAGAAGAAAAATTAGAAGAAAGTAATCAAGATAATATAACTAATCTACCAGAAGTAAGAATTGATGATACCCTACTATTTCGATTCACGCTGCATCTGGCCCCATATGGGGAGAAACGCTTCTCACTAGGGATTTTTTATATCCAGAATTCAAACATGAAATATTTGATTAATTAAAAAAGGAGCAATCTCATTCACTACACCACATCCTTTTATACATCTACACAACCCTTCATGTAAACAAATACTAGCAGAGTTTACATACAACAAACATCAAAATGTTTAATTCCATATATCCTTTTGTTTAACAAATGATACAAATTTACATTTTCTGTTAACAGATGAATTAGGAATTTTTTTTTAAAACTTTGAGTATGTACAAGCATACACTTAAATTTGAACAAAATTGAATAAATAGACACACTCGTTTTCCATGACAATTTTGTATCCTATGTAGTGTTCTATATGTATTATGTCATATATAGCATGTACATGTATTTAATTTAATACAAATTTAAGTGTCTATATGTGTACACCCAAAGTGAAGAGCATATAGATACCAGTTGAAACTAAGTTAAAAAACATCTTTATTATTATGCTTTTTTTTCTTTTTTTAGTTAACTTTTGAGGTTGAGTTAGATGGATCGTTACAAATTGAATTAGTTCTTGTTTTTGAGAAAATAGTACTTTTTCTTTTTCAATTTATGAGACACTTTTCATTTCTCTAGAGTCAAACAATCCATTTTGATCGTAAATTCGGGCTTGAAATCTTTAAATTTTTTGATTTTTTTTATATGTTTAGAAACTATGTAAAAAGCATAATAAGTCAAAATAGATGACAATTTAAAATATCCAAAATGTATCACATAAATTAAAACGGAGAGTAATAATTATAAAGTCCAGTTTACGGCGTGTTTCAAATTTTAGCATTTTTACATTCTTCTTTTGGAGGATGAAAGATTGGATGGTGAAAGGCTACTGGCGATTGTAATGGAGGAGAAATTAATATATGGTAGGTAATGAGCCGATTAAATGCTCAAAATTTAGAGCTTGTTTGGCCGAGCGATATGAAATTATAACATAAATTATGAGATAAAGTAAAAGTTTTGTATCAACATGTAATTTAGAATTTTCATGTTATGTTTTCTCATACACATAAACACCTCATAAGTTGTAAAACTACTCAAATAGTCTCAATTCGTTATATAATCATAACCAAATAAACAAAAGTTTATAAAATCGTAACACACTATCACAAGCTATTCTTAAAAAATACAACATTTATTGATAAAACTTTAATTCAATAACAAATAAATTAAACATAAGTTGTGTACTAGTCTTTGATATCTTTTCTCGTTGAACTTGCATTTCTCGATCATATGACCAAGAAGACGATTACTTTTAGCCATTTGTTGGTTAATTTGGTTGGTAATAAATTTCATAAAAAAATAATAAAATTGATGAATATAAATAGTAAAGTAGGAATTGATCTGAAGTATTAATAAATTTTGTATAAGTTAGAATAATCATCACATGAGATATAAATGATTTAAAACGTAATGATATGCTTGGTGCCTGGTGGGTTGATGGTTGTAATTAAAAAATTTCAAATCATGATTTGAAAATTACAAATCATGTTTTTTTTTTGGAAGAATTTGAAATTTCATCTCACGACATGAAATCATAAGATGAAACTAGTGTGAGATCGCATGTCCAAACACTTGTTTCATCTCATGATTTCATAACGCATGTCCAAACGCCAACTTAATCAAAATATTTTGAGTAACTTGGGCAAAAATAAGTACCCTTTCTCCAATATATGTGGAATGAGGATATTTGAATCATGTCTACTGAGTAAAGGTTGAGTGACATTTTTTAACCTTTTGTGTTTTTAATATGACAAACCAAATAATGAATAAGAAATAATTCGCGAATAACTTATCCCAAAATATCTAATTTAAACACGACAATCTGTACAGTACTATTTCTTAGAGAGATATTGGAGTCTATGACTACCACACATATTTTTTTTTCACAGTTTGAATTATTGTATACTATCAATTATTGTCCTTTTAATTTGGTGCCATAAACAAGTAGCAAAAGAAGACTTTAGTGCTGAGGAAGAAGACTGACTTTGTGAAGCTAAGGAGCAAACGCAACAATGGCCGATCCTGTTATTGGTGCTACTGTTCAAGTTTTGCTTGAGAAGCTGCTTTCTCTCTCTATTGAGGAGGTCAAAACATTAAGGAACTGCAAGAAAAATCTCTCAAAGCTGACAAAACATGTAACCATGATACAAGCTTACACGCATGATGCTGAAACACGACAAGTCGAAGATAATCAGGCTGTGGAAGAATGGCTTAAGATGCTTGAGAAAATTGCTGAAGATGCTGAAAATGTGTTTGACAAATTCACATATGTATCTATCAAAGCACGAGTGATGAAAAACCAAATGAAACTGATGGAGAAGGTTAGTCACTTCTTTTCTCAGACTGTTTTCAAGTACAAAATGTCTAGAAAAATCAATGACATCAATGAAGAGTTGAGGGCTATCAATGAGTTAGCCAATAACCTCGGTCTCCAATTACTGACTGTTCCTTCTCGCAAAATACCACAAATCCGAGAAACAGATTCCTCTGCTTCGTATGTTGTTGGTAGAGACAAAGATGTTGCTGAAGTGAAGGAGAAGATTTTGAACATGAGAAAGGATGTTGTTCTGTGCACCATTCCCATTGTGGGTATGGGGGGTTTAGGGAAAACTACTCTGGTAAAGAGAATTTTCAATGACGTAGAGATTGAAAAACACTTCGTAAAGAGAGTTTGGTTGTGTCTACCTGAAATGTCAGACGCTAAGAGCTTTCTTGAACTGATCCTCCATTCATTGACAGGGCAGAAACTTGAGCTCCAGAGTAGAGATATAATAGTCAAGAAGCTACAAGATGCATTGGGAGAAAAAAGGTATTTGCTTGTCCTGGATGATTTGTGGCGTGTTGGATCTACACATTGGTATGAGTTCATGGACACCTTAAAAGGAATCAATACATCCAGAGGAAACTGCATTCTCGTGACTACTCGTATGAAGCAGGTGGCATCCATAGTAGCTGCAGATCTTCATATGTTGGGGAAATTAGCAGATGATCATTGTTTGTCCATTTTCAAACAAAGAGCATTTGTTGATGGGGAAGTTCCGCAGGAAATACTGAGCATGGAGAAAAAGATAGTTGAACTATGTCAAGGTCTACCGTTGGCTGCAAGTGTTTTGGGATGCCTCTTATGCAACAAGGAAAAACATGAATGGCAGGCAATTCTTGTTGCAGGTGAAGATGATAATGGGGAAAATAGCTTAAAGAAAATCCTAAAACTAAGCTATGATTATCTACCATCTCCACATCTGAAAAAGTGTTTTGCTTACTTTGCCATGTTTCCAAAAGATTTTGAGTTTGAGAAGGACCAACTAATCCAACTCTGGATGGCAGAAGGCTTTCTTCGTCCATGTCAAGAGACCCCTGTGATGGAAGACGTTGGGATCAAGTTTTTCCAACTCTTGTTCCAATATTCCTTGCTGCAAGATGTTAAGCTAGATGAATACAACAATATCACACACTGTAAGATGCATGATCTTGTGCATGATTTGGCTGGAGATATTTTGAAGTCTAAACTATTTGATAAAAAGAGTGTTGAAGGTGAAAATCTTTCTCAAGTTCGATACTTTGGATGGGACTCACCAAGTGATCAAATAGATAAGATAAGCGAGCCAGGACGTTTGTGCACATTGTTCTGGGAAAGCAATATATCTGATGATATGCTATTGAGCTTTCAGTTCTTGAGAGTTTTAAATTTGTCCGCATCAGGCATCAAGGAGTTGTCAGCCAAAATCAGCAAGCTAATATTCTTGAGATATCTTGATATCTCCGACACTCGTATCGAAGACTTCCCCGACTCCATTTGCAAGCTCTACAATTTGCAAACATTTAGAGTCAATGACTGTTCTTCACTCAGAAAGCTTCCAGAAGAAATGGCAAATATGATAAGTTTGAGACACATATATTGCAATGGATCAGATATGCAGACGCCACTTAATATGGGGCAATTGACCAGTCTTCAGACGCTACGGGTTTTTTACATAGGTTCAGAGAAAGGTCGTCGGATAAAAGAATTAGGTCGTTTGAAAAACCTTAGAGGTAAATTGACGATCAATCATCTCCAATTAGTCAGAAATAAAGAAGAGGCCCAAACAGCAAATTTACAGGAGAAACCCAATATCTACAAGCTGGTGTATTCATGGTCCCATGATGAATCAGAAGGCTGTGAGATCAATGATGAGCATGTGTTGGATGGTCTTCAACCGCATCCTAACTTGAAAGCCTTATCAGTAGTGGACTATTTAGGGACTAAACTTCCCTCATGGTTCAGTGAGGAGTTGCTACCAAATTTGGTCAAGTTGAAATTAAGTGGTTGTAAAAGGTGCACAGAAATTCCATCCCTTGGCCAACTGAAATTCCTTCGACATCTTGAGCTGGTAGGATTCCATGAGTTGAAATGCATTGGACCTGCTTTATATGGTGTTGAGATTAGCAATATTGGATCAAGCAGCATTATCCAAGTGTTCCCTTCATTGAAAGAACTAGTATTGGAGGATATGCGTAGCCTTATTGAGTGGAAGGGAGATGAAGTTGGAGTAAGAATGTTTCTTAGGCTTGAGAAGTTGCGCATTAGTAACTGTCCATTGTTAAAAAGTACTCCAAGTCAATTTGAAATCCTCCATGAATTAATAATTGAAGGAGTTGACAGTGAAATGCCATTGTTGAACTTGTGCAGCAACTTGATATCTCTTGTGAAGCTTGATGTTGATAATGTGAAAGAGCTCACTTGTCTTTCAGATGTTATGCTACGCAACAATGTTTCTCTTCAATACATATCGGTCGTCGACTGTGGAGAGTTTCGTGAATTTCCACAAAGCCTGTACAATCTCCATTCTCTTGAGAGCTTACGAATACAACACTGCCCCAATTTCAGTTCTTTTATTGTTCCCTGTGGAGAGAACTACTTGACTTCCCTCCAAAATTTTGAGTTACAAGGGTGTAATGGATTGACCAGTTTACCAAGTGGAATGCTAGAGCAATGCCGGTCTCTAAAGAATTTGTCGGTCAGCTGGTGTGACAACTTAGTTTCCTTCCCTTTACATGAGTGCGAAATGCCTTCACTTTCATGGTTGGATATATCACAATGTCCCAAATTGATTAGTGTATCAACAGGGTGCCTGCACCGTCTCACTGGGTTAATTGTATTGGGAATTGGTCCTTTCTCAGAGAAGGTGGATTTTGAGGTATTCCAATTGATTTTTAGTGGTGTTCAACAGCTGTTTTCTCTTCGTTCTTTGTGGGTGTACGGACATTTGCACTGGGATTCTCTGCCCTATCAGATTATGCAACTCTCTGCCCTAAAAAATCTCTCTATAGATGATTTCGGAATCGAGGCTCTTCCTCATAGATTTGACAACCTTACATCTCTTGAAACATTATCGCTAAAGAGGTGCAAACGGCTAAGACATGTGGACTTCTCAGATGCCATAACCAAATTACGGAATCTGTGGATACAGGATTGTCCATTATTAGAAGCTCTGTCGGATGGGCTCGGCAACCTTGCTTCTTTGGAACAGTTACTTATTTTGAATTGCAAAAAACTAGAGCATCTGCCATCCAGAGATGCCATGCGACGCCTCACCAAATTAAGGATCCTGCATATTGTTGGCTGCCCACAGTTAGGAGAAAGCTGCACCAAACAGAGTGGTCCTAACTCCCAGTGGTCCAAAATTTCCCATATTCCAGATATTGAAGTAGGTTTCTGCTATTTCATTTGACTGATAAATTCTGATATCTATTCGATCTCATCGGGACTTGGTATTTAACTTTGTATGAAATCGTTCACGTCTGACCCTCACCTCTCCCAACCTGTACGAAATAAGAAGAATCTCAGTATTTTCATATCTATTCAGGTGCGTTCATGAAGATAACGGAAGCAATGGCTCGACTTATTGGTGAAACGCTAGAGGTAACAGAACCATTTCACAGAAAGTTTGATGCCAGACAGATTTTCTTTGGGACCGAAATTTGACTTCTACAGTTTTTGTTGATTGACTTACCCAAATTGGAACATTTTTCTTCAGAGATGAGCCGGTGAGTGTGGTTGCATCTTGCACGAAGCTTGAAAGTTCAAGGTAAGTTAGTTTTTTTCTAGATCTATACCTTTTTTCCTGGAATTGTTTTTCTTTTTCTCCCAAATGCTACTTTTAAATCATCATATTTATCTACGGAACAATGTCAAGTTCCATAAATGGTAGAAATCTATATAAGTTTCTCGATACAGTCATAAAAAAATAAATCTTTATTATCAGGTTTTAGACAGTAGAAACTTCATGGATATATGACACACTACTCGTTACTTTCACTTCACAGGATAATTTCTCCGTTGATATTAACTTTCGCGATTGAAGTTCTTCAACAAAGATAGCTGTCATGAATCATATAGTATCAATGAGCCGCTCATTGGCTCTTACAATGTCCTCAGCAGTATCTGTTCATCTTGATAGGTCTTGATTTCTCCTAAAATCTCCTTTTTTTTATTGTACTTGTAATAGTCTGCTTTTCCATTCTCCTAGGAGGAAACGTGTTCTAAAACTAACTTTTTACCATTTCCCGCGCTTCAGATTCATGTTTGAAACACCAGCATTGACCTTGTCGAAATGCTACTTCTGTTAGATGTGTTTCTGTTTCATCGTTGGCAAGGGGAAACTGCATTCCATAAACTTATTTCCCTTAAAGTACCCTAAAAGGGCCATGTCGTCATGAGTGATTAAGTTTGTTGCACATGTATTATGATAAACAGTTGAGCTTTTCGCGTCTATTGAAGTGAGAGTCCAATGGTAACGCCCAGCCCACAGCTCCTGAAATCAGTTGACGTAATTCTAAACTGAATTAAACTAGCAGTGGTGAATACCATAGTTGTATCATGTATGGTGTAAAGTTTCTTGGATCTAGTCCTCCTACAAGTTGTTAGTTATGGTTGTAAAAATACATAACTAACAACTAGTTGCGCACAATCACTCTGCTTAATAATTAAAGGTCACAGACATGAATAAGATTTGCTTGTAAAAATGCAGTGAAAGAAAGAAAAATTTCACGCGTTAAAAAGTTAGTGGATCCTCATACAAAGTTTTGTTGGTGAATATCTCACTCAAAATAAATCTTTTCTACAATTTCCCCATTCTTTTCGTCTAGAATTTTCATCTAAAATAAATAAAAGGCTCAAGAAGTCCCTAATAATTTCATCCCCCAACAAACATAGCTATACTTCAAATTTTACAACAATTCCTAAGAAGTAATTCTAAAATCCTTCTTTCACTTTACTTGTTGGCAACTTCCCTTCGCCCTTTTCCCCTTTCATCTCCGGCTAATATATAAATATGTTTTTTAATTTGATCTCAACTTATATATATGTCTTTGAATTTTTCATAGTACATACAGACACATACTTAAATAATTTATATAAAATTGAGCAAATAGATGTACGCATTACATTTGACATAATACATGTAGGACATTGTATAGGACACAAATTGTCACATAAGGCGTCAAGTAGAATATGTGTGTTTATTTGTTCGATTCTATATAAATTTAAATGACTGTTTATACACATTCAAAATTAAAAAAACATATATATCAAATAAAGCTAAATTAAAAGATATGTTTATGTATAATGATTTTTTATCGACTCTTCTCCTCTTTTGAGATTTCTCAATCTTAATTTTCTATGTGACCCACAAATGTATCATACAGGACCTAACTTCATTAATTTCATACCAATAAAAGGGGCAGGGAACAACTATCACTTAGGTTGAAATTTTTTTAATAATGCAAAGTCATGCACTGTCACTTTCCAAAGGTACGATGGATAGATTTGACAAGATGGACAATCCTTCGATAAATATTTAACAAAATATTGAACTTAAACACATTCGTAATTCATAAGAATTGTACGAATATTTGTGAAGGTAGCAAAGAATTTTGATTTTAGCTCCCATTATCTCATCCAATCCTACAATAAAAACTCTAGTTTAGGCGTGGCAAGCAAAGAAAGAAGCATTTCATATAATCAAAACAAAAATTCCATGAATTTACGAGAAAAGTTTCGCTTTGGATCGTGCTGCTAGATTGAGACCATCACATTACTATTTGAGTAAGGAATAAATATTGAACCCTGAGAAATTGACGGTCAATTTTCTATAAGTCATTGACCCAAGTTTCTATATCGCTTGAATCACGAGCAATCGAATGACTTTTGAGAATATAAAAGAAATTTTCTAACCGGTTAGAGAGCTCATTCAAGTTTGAGGTGAATCCGTACTGTATTTATTTTCTCTAAATCTTCTTTCTATATAAACATCAGTATATTTTCTACGATTTTACATTTGATAATTTTGAATTTTGTTAAGAAATTTAGTGATTTTCGAAGGTATCATTATATCTTAATTTTAGTGACTTTCAAAATTGTAATTAAATTGTATTTGGAGTTTATTTGGTTTATATCTTGGATCAAAATCTAAATTTATGTGTATGGTCATATTAGTGATAATCAACAACATTGAGAAAGTGTTGATGCATAAAGATACTAAATTAAGCAAACAAAATATATCAAAATTTAAACAACACATACAACTCAAAAGTCAAAAACAGTCACTAAAAATTATAATTAGAAAAAATATAGCTACTAATATAATAATTATAATCCAACCTATACCTACTAATGAAATTTCCTCATATTTACATGGTTTAATTTGGCCACTCCTTACTGTCCTTACCCTTAATTATATAATTCTGTACATTTTCTTAGAACTTTCGAGTTCAATAATTTCTGTTGCTCTTCATGTTCCACGTGATTAGCAATTAATTTGTCTCTGTTGGTTCCGGACATTATTTAGCCTTACGATTCAGTTGATTATTATATTAAAAATAGTTATTTAATAATATTTATTTCGTTTGAAAAAATAAAAGATAAATAATCATTTTGAGTCTATTTTACTTTTGCTTTTAAATATCAGTCAATATTTAATACATTTCTCAAATATTGAATTTAATATATTTATTCATTAAATTAACAGTGAACAATTATTATTTAACACAAAGTATTATGAAAAGTGATTTAATAATATGAATCGAAATGGAGTAAAAAAAAATTCAACAAATAACGTGGTTAATTTGTATACGATTGCCCATTCTCCGCCTACCCTCTAATTTTTATTTTATTTTGCAACAAAATATCAAAAGCTTTAAACGTTGACCAATCGCCAATTCGAATCTTCTATCTTCTGCGTAGAAGCTACGATTTGGTTTTTGATTTTTTTCATCATCGAGCAATTTCATTGCTTTGATGCAAAAACAAGAGGCATTTACGGAGGGATTTGGTGCTGTTTTGATCTCTGGGTTTAGTTATGCCAGAGATCTTACGTGAGGAGAGCAGTTCATCTTCATCAACCACCGCCGGCACCATCGCCGGCGCCGGCACCGGAGATTTCAAGCTTAACATATTTGGGAAATATGAGGTCGGGAAGCTTCTGGGTTGTGGTGCTTTTGCAAAGGTTTATCATGCTAGGGATGTGAGGACGAGACAGAGCGTGGCGATTAAGACGGTAAGCAAGCAGAAGATACTGAAAGGTGGTTTCACGGAGCATGTTAAGAGGGAGATTTCTATCATGCGCAGGTTGCGTCATCCTCATATCGTGCGCCTTCATGAGGTGCTCGCGACGAAGACGAAGGTCTATTACGTTATGGAATTCGCTAAAGGTGGAGAGCTGTTTACGAAAGTTAGCAAAGGGAGATTCAGCGAGGATCTCAGCCGGAGATATTTTCAGCAGTTGATCTCCGCCGTTGATTATTGTCATTCTCGTGGTGTGTATCATCGAGATCTGAAACTGGAGAATCTGTTGCTCGATGAGAATTGGGATCTCAAGGTCACCGATTTTGGGCTCAGTGCAGTGACGGATCAGATCCGACCCGATGGATTCCTCCATACGTTATGCGGCACTCCGGCATATGTAGCTCCTGAAATCCTCGAGAAGAAAGGATACAACGGAGCTAAGGTGGATATATGGTCATGCGGCATCATCCTTTTTGTGCTCAACGCCGGTTATTTACCATTTACCGATGCAAATCTAATGGCGATGTATCGGAAAATCTACAAAGGCGAATTCCGTTGCCCTAAATGGACCTCACACGGATTGAAACTGTTGCTTACTCGACTCCTCGACACGAATCCCGACACTCGAATCTCCATTGAACAAATCAGAAACGATCCGTGGTTTCGGAAAGGTTACAAAGAGGTGAAATCGCATTTCGGTGATGAATTTGAGTTGAAAAGTAGCTCCGATTTGAATCGCGACGGCAAGTTTCTAAATGCATTTCATATAATCTCGTTATCCTCAGGTGTTAATCTGTCTGGATTGTTGAAATCTCTAGGAGGGAAAGAGACAGTGGATGTTGAAAGATTTGTTTCAGCATCGTCAGCGGAGAGAATAACACAGAGGATTGAAGAGATTGCAAAGGCTGAAGGGATGAGAGTCACCGGTAAAAATGGCGCCGGTGTAAGAGTTGAGGGGCAAAATGGGAAATTTGTTTTAGCGACAGAGATTAACCGGTTAACGGAGAAAGTGGTAATAGTAGAAGTTAAACGAAAGGAGATAGGAGCTGGAGCTGATGGAGAAATATGGAAACTCAAATTCAAGCCGCAGTTAAGTGAATTCTTTTTGTGAATTCTTTCATAGTTCGCGTTCTCTATCGTAGAATTCAGACATTATGCTATTCGTTATTTTCTAGATAGCATAAGAAACAGAGATTTCGAAATCTCTTGACCTGCATTTTCTAGATACAGGTTCACTTATTCGGTGAGAAACGGAGATGATTCTAGTTATTGAATAGCTCGAGGAATGTGGATCGAAGTGAGATGATATTCGTACTAGTTTCTGAACACGTGATTAGTTGAATAACTTACTACATTTTTTGCAAATAGGAATTCAAAGTATCATGTCAGGTTTGGGTAAAACCTGTTGTACACTAATATCGTTATTGCTAAGAATTAGGATAATGTATCATAATGTATTGTATTTGTGTACTCTCCGTATACATAAGATATAGAGAGGGCAAAATTATCGGGTTATGTATATATTTTTATAACTCGGTAATTTGTATTTATGGTAATCTCATTTTTCATAGTAAAATGATTATTGAGACCTCTTTTTTCTTCAAAAGCTGCCGTGCATTTCTTTTTTATAGGTATACTTGGGCCTTCACTGACCATGTGAGGACTTTTTAGGAAAAAGATGTCCTCGACGATGATGTAGTCGTAGTAGTCCTCTGATGGGAAATCTGTTAAGATCCGCCCATGATTCATGGAACCATTCTTTCGCGTGCCGTAGCTTAGGATTCGTGCTATTGCTATTGTTTAGGGGCGTCAAGACCGGGTTCCTACTTTTTCTTTTTGAGAAAGAAGAGGTTACTGGACAAGCGATCTCCTATTTGAGTTTTGCTAATTGTTTCATGAATGGTTTTGTATAAAATCATTTATCATTGATACCTTTTTCTCATTTCTTAATATGGTTAGATATTTTTTAATAGAGTGCAACTATAAATATTGAATTCCCAGATTAGCATGTCAAAAGATTACATTAATATATATACACACCTCTCGACATAAGTTGAAGGTTTAGTCTAGTAATTAAGAGGTTGCGAAAATTTCTTCAGATTGTATTTTAGCTTTGCTTAATGAGAATCATCGCTTCGCCACTATATCATTACATGTTGTAGCGTTGCTAGCATCATAATTATTATTTTAATTGCAACGATTGACACCCCTTGATGAAAATTTGACCTTTCTAAAA